ATGTATTTTCCCAGGTTTGGATGTGCTTTCCAGGGTTTGGATGTGTTTTTCCAGGTTTGGATGTGTTTTCCTGGGTTTGGATGTGTTTTCCCAGGTTTGGATGTGTTTTCCTGGGTTTGGATGTGTTTTCCCGGGTTTGCATGTATTTTTCCAGCCTTGCAGAGCTGCTCAGAGAGAGCTGGAAAATGAATCCTGTGCAGAAAACCCTGCTGTGCCCCTCTGTGCCACCACCAGCCCTGCTCACACCACGGCTTTGCTCGGCCAGAGCTCAGAGCCGGCACCAACTCTGCATCCAATGGAGCTTCTCCAGATTTATCCCACCACAAAGGAGAACAAGAGTCTCCAAACAGCCCTAGAAATAAGAACTGAGGAAGAGAGACACATCAGACATGAGAGAAATCCTGACTTTTTTTATTTAACTGTTTTGTTTTAAATTTTCTTTCAGGAGTCACATTTTTTTTCCCCAAAAAATTTTAACTGGGAAGTCACCTCAGCTCAGGGCATTTTTGTTAATGAAGACCACTGCCTTAATGTGGTTTTCTTTAGTTAAATATTTCTGGTAATGAAATTCTGTTGTACAGCTTAAATTAGCACTGTAATTTTTTGCTATAGTTGTTTTTATTTGACCACATGGAGCTCAGTGACTTATAACCCAGTCCCTCAGCCTATTTTTAAATTTCATGTGGACTTTTTCAGTCATTTAGTAGCTTTTTTTAGAAGCATGAGAATGGAAAGACCAAACAATGTTGCTTTATCATTGAGAGCTTTTGTTTCACAGGATCACAACTGAAATGAGTTTGTTCAGCTCTCAGCCCAGGCTCCGGGGAAGAAGAAATCACAATTTTTTAATAAAACGGCTCCCAGTCTTGTAATTTCTGGTTCATGCTAGCCCTCTATGGAAGATGTTACACAGTTATTCTATGATCCAAATCTTGGTCCAAATGATCCAGAGGACAGCAGACAAAACTGGACAGCCCAGTTATTGCACGCTGTTCCCATCCTGGTGGGTACAGGACTTCAGGGCTTTGCCTCCTTCGTTCCCTGATTTCCCCCTCTCCTCTTCCTCAGCTGTGGTAGTGCTACTGATAAACCAAGGAGAAACCCTCAGGTGATGCAGGAGTGATGAAAAGCTTCGACAGCACAGGGATCCCTGCAGTGACATCTGCACTCCTGATCCTAGAGATCAAGCTGTATTAATCTGGCTTTGGAAAACTCCACACGATCTCACCTAGGTGCCACTCTGGGTATTTTCTTCATCATCCCACCCTCCACTTACTTGTTAAGTCCAAAAAACATTTTTGATTTCACTTGGAGACAAAGGAACAGGGGTGTAGTGAAGGGAGAGAGGGATGCTCTTGGTCCTTCAGTGAAGTAAAAGGAGAAAATCATCTGAGAGAAACACCCCAAACTTAAACAGGGCATTAGACAGAATTAACAGACCAGACCTCCAAGCCATCAGAAATTCCCGGCTGAATAAAAGATTGATTTCAAAGACTCAAAGATACCTCAAGGCCAGCATTTCCAAAGAAGATGGGAGCTGATTGGAGCTGAAGCATTCCTCTTGTTCAGTACATTTGAGTGAGCGCTTTAAGTCTCCAAAGATTGAACTATAAAGAGAAATTAGTTTATTAATAATTCACAGGCTCCAAGAAGAAAAAAAGTCAAAAGCATATGCTCATGAACAAAGCTGATTTTATTTTCCCTGTTTAGAATTGAGCAACATGTAAAAAATTGGAGAGTGTCGAGCTCAAAAATTTAATTCAGGGCTTTTTCTCTTCCTTCCCTTTAACCCAAGCAAGGGTATATTCCAACTTCGTCACAAGCACTGAAAGTTCTTCAAATCCCAAATGGTTTATGTGAAACATTAAAAGCACACTATCATCTTCAGCTCTTTAATAGTTTAGGACGTTTTCATGGCATAGTTATTATCCAATAGCTCTTAATTGCTGCTTGTACATTTCAAGACAACACATTCATGGACTGGAATAACAGAGATTTTAGACTCTCATCCAGCATCATGGCAAAGCACATCCTTACTGTAGATGTCTCATTGAGTCTGGCACTTCCCTGTCCCACTTTGCCAAGTTATGAGGTCTGTAACATTCATATGCTTAAAATCAATCATCTTGTTCCTGATTCTGTGCTTGTCCCTTATAGTTTTGGTAATTGCTTGATTTAGGACACTAGGTAAACACAAGAATTGAAGAATTCGATTCTTAAAATTCCCTAAAAGATAGACAATAAGGGGACAGTATATTTTAGATAAAATGCTTTCCATTGTCCAATGGAGAAATTAGAAGTGCAGGGTGGACGTCTCAATTTTTGCCACATTTATTGGAATATTGGTTCTTCTAAAAGTGAATATTGGTTCTTCCTTTAAAGTCCTTGTTTCCCTTCACAGGAGACTGAATATTGAGTATTTTATCCCAAAAAGAGCCGCACAATTAGATATTACAGGGGTTTTTTTCCTCCAATCTCAGAAAAGAGAAAAGTCTCATACCATGACCCAACCTCAGCAAGGAAAATACAGATTATGAGTTCAAATTACATTACTAATGTAATGTGTCAGTCCCGTTTGTTTCTTGGTTTCCATTCTATTGAATCACAGTATTACTGCTTTTGGAAGGAATCTGATGATAAAGAAAGCCACCTCCCAACAACGGAGGGGAATGATAAAAGAAGAGGCCAGCCATCATCATCCTGAAGGAAATAACCAACACTGGAGCCCTGGAGCAGCTGTGATTCCCACGGGACTCTGCTCTGAGTCAGAACCCAGGCTGCAGCTGATGCTCATCCCCCTGGATCCCACTCACAGCCAACAAACTGTTGCTCTCAGAAAATAATACTTTAAACCATGTGAATTTTTTCCCCCAAAGATAATTATTTATTTCACCTCTGGGTGAACCAGAGAGGAACGTGTTCCAGAGCAGCATTAGAAGAATGTGAAAAGCTCAGATAAATTCCTTGTGAGGTGATTTGCCTTTTTCCCCCTCTCTTTGTGAGAAATGTGTGGCTGGGAGACAGAGATCTCTGTCCTGACAGCAGGTTCCTCACAAGACACAGAGTTCAGGGTGCACAAAGAGCAAAGCAAAGCAGGTTCAGCTGCTCTTGGCTGCTCAGAGTTGTTTCCTAATACTCTGCATGGCTCAAGCAGAGGATTAGGCTGTGATAGGTGAACTGCAAGAGATGGAGGTCCAAATTCTGGAGTTACTATTTCATCCTCTCCCAGGCCAATTTCCTCTTGGCTCCAGCTAGAGTCCTTGAAATCCAGGGAAGTTTTGCCTGACTACAGAGTGAGTAATGATTCCAGGAATCAACTTTTGGAGATAACACCAAATTGAGTATCTTTGCTAAATTAACTTTCCTCCTAAGGTCATCTCCGTAACACTTGAGCACACAATGTGTTATTTTCGAAACGAGCTGGTCCCTATCTGTTTATCATCAGGCCAATACACGAATTCCTGATCATTTCTCCACAAGGCACACATAATTTGAGGCCATTAGGCAGTGCTTATCCATACCTCCACCGGGCAGATGTGTTCCCTGGGAGCGCTTGTCCGGGGGTCTGGCAATAATAACGCAGCACGGGCAGGAAAATCAATCCCAACAAGTTTCAGAGGGACCCTTCCAAAGCTCCCCAGCATGTGACAGAGGGCTGCTAATGAGAGGGAGAGATCACATTCATTGCATGAGTGACAGGTGAAAGGGAAGATTAACGTTAGCATACACCTGCTCTTTGGTGCCCCAATTAAGACCTCCTACTGTCAGCAGTAACATAAGATGCAAATCAGCCCCTGCCCTTCCCCCTCCTCCTGGAAGGTTGTGGCAGGATTTGGAGAAAAACGCAATGAGACAAGAAATGCAAAATCTTGAATGCCTTCCTTGCTCTGCAAACCTTTTTCTTGCTTCCTGATTCTGCCCTTTGGGATCCTTATCCTGCCTTTCCTTTGTCACCACTCACCTGATTCTTTTCACCTAGAGAGAGGAAATGACCTGTTTCAGCAAGGGATCCCTGCCCTGGGGACAGTCCCAGGGACAGACTGGAACACCCATGATTTGAATTGGCAATACTTATCCCTGCTTTAAATTTGTTTGAACTAACCTTGCTCGAGCTACTGGTGATAGAGGAAATGGGTGGGAATATCACTGAAGGAGATATGTGGGATGGAGGAGGGGGTGGCTCATCAGCTTATCATGGACTGGGTCTAAGGAATTGCTTTTGAGGCATTATTTTAATGCAGCATTGGCAACCCATGCTGGAATATTGCAAATCCATGAGTAGCTCTTGTGAGTGCTTTTCCAATATGTCCATACTATCCCATTTTGTCTCCTCCTAGTGTCCAATATTAATCAAATATTGCTTATCTGATGGAATTCCAGCTGCCAAGGTATTGTAGACTTCTCAAAAGCAATTGTCCTTTCAGCTTCCTTGTAGCTGTTGCATGAAGGGAACTAGTCCAGAAGGTGCAAATCCATTCCAATGGGAGGAAAAAAATTTAAACGAATTTGCATCCTTCCTTCCTTAAAAAAAAACCAAAACAAAAACAAACAAACAAACAAACAGAAAAGGGGTTTTAAAATTGTAGTTTAAAATAGGTTAACATTCATCCAAACTGGCTCTAGCATTTTGGGCAGGTTTTGGAGAGCATCCCTGCAGGACCCCTGCCCCTGTTTGTCCCACCCAGCCCAATGGGCAGAGGTGACCACGCTGTGTGGCAGGCACACAGCCAGGGCAATTGGCCTTTCCTTCCTCCTCCCAGCTCTGCTGGCTGTTGGAAAACATGCATCAATTTGTTTTTCTCCCTTCAGGCAGAAAATAAAATTGGCAAAAATCATCCCAGCAGGAAGCCAGGAAGCCCTGTTTAAATTTTCCCAAGGGGAGGGGGCAACTCAGCAAAGTCAGTATTTTCCTGCAAAAAAATTTCAATTTGCGTAAAGATGACATTTTATTAGAACAATTTATTGATAGGAAACATCTAGAAATCTCATTCCAGACCTTTATTGGCAGAGAAATGAACTCCTGCATTTCACAACCTCAGATTCTTTTCTCCTTCAGCAAACTGTCAGCTTTTGACCATTCAATGCAAAACACCCCAACCCTTCAGTTTGTTGGCCTGTTGCACGTTCTATCTGGGGTGACTTAGCCCAAATCTGAAACAATTGCACACACTCAAAGTCTTCAAAGCTCTCGAAACACTGCTGCATAGGAAGGGAATAGAATTCTTGGGACACTCTCTAGTTCATTTATCTCATCTGGTAATCTTTTGCCAATACCCATAGACAGGAGCTGAGTGGAAAGCAACAGCTCTATGGCTCAGTTTCTCAAATTCTTACTGACGCTGAAATTAAAGCCATGAAATCCCTTCTCCCAGTGGTGTTGTGAGAATAAATTCTTCAGTGGCACTAAAAGGCCCTCAGATATTAATGCTGAGTGCTTGCAAGAGTACACAGAAAGATGGATGGTGTTTGTCCTCAGCCCCCAGAAACCATTAAGTTCCATTGCTCTGCAAACCTCTCTGACTCACCAGCTCTGCTCCTCGAAGCTCTGTGCATCCAGTTTTCCCCTCTGTGTACACATTCCATGGGGCTGGAGTGGTCAGATTTAAGGAAAGAGTCAAAGAGATGTTTTGAGAAAAATCTACCAGAAAGTGAGGACACTGCACAAACCTCATTCAGCTGCTTCACCCCAGCATCACCACTCCAGAGTTATGGACTCCTGTGAAGAGATGCAGGTGGAAAGAGGAGAGTTTGTAGTGCCTGTCTTGGGATGAAATTGGGATGCACAAGAAATTTCTGACTAGTTTTTATGCAGAGACATAGAAAAAAAAATTGCATTTATGTATTAAAGGATGTTAATTTGCTCAGAGTAATTTTCCATAGATTTTATTGATTGATTTCAGGCTTTGAGGGTTTAACTGCCATGTCAGTTTGCCCACTTTAATTTAGCATTTGGATGACTTATAACAACAAGCTGGTTTTATCACTTGAAACCCTTCCTAATTAATGATAGACAAAAGAGGGACAGAGAAAACACTCTAAGTGAACATATTACTTTCCCTTCTCTTTCATTCTGGAAAAGCTCCTAAAACTTGTGAGCTTGAGTAAATTATTTGGAAGACTGTTAAATACACAGGCACAGCAGCAGCAACAACCGTTCAGAGCTAATAAATCTCACAGAACTGAAATTATTGCAATAAGGATTATTCCAGATTTAGAACAAGAAGAACAAATATCACTATGAAAGGTCTTCATCAGTGTCTTCAGCCTCATCATCTCCTGGCTGTGATGCAGTTATTAAACTGTACACGTGCTAGGGAAGAAGTCAAATTGCTACAGAACAAAAAAAAAAGAAGGAATAAACCTGGCTGGGATCAAACAGGGATACAACTGTTCTGCCACTGGCTTAGCTCACAGTGCTGGGCAATGCATCGGACACCTCCCTGTTTGATTTGTCCATCTGTAAACTGTTAAAACAATTCTCACCCCAGCATCCAGGAGAAATCAATCATCAGGACTGAGCTGAACCAAATAGCCATTAAGTTCTTGGATGGAAGACATAATAGGAACACAAATATTTTCACTTGAAGTGTTATACTGCCCTCAGTTAGGCTCTGCTGGTGGTGACGTTGAGCTGAGCACATTCTCCTTGCTTTCAGGACAGGCTCTGATTTTCTGAAGATTGTATTGCAACAACACTTGCTTTATCTTCAGCCCCTTGCGAGGCTGCACACAGTAACTGGCATTGCAAAATCCCAAACTTTTAATTAAGAGACAGCTCTGAGCACTCTGCAAAGAGAACTCCAGCACCTGTTTGGAACCTCTCACCTTAGAGAGACCCTTGCCATGAACTGCCCTTGTCCTGCCCCTTATTGCACACATCAGCACTATTGCCAATTCCAAGCACTTTCCATCCTCTAGAGCAGTCAGGACAACACTTCACAGCGAGCTTTGAGGCTCTTGGAAAGAGGAATAGGCTTGCATTGTCCCCATGCTTGACCTCTGGTTTTGGTCCCTACCCCTGAAACCACTTGGATCTGGGTTTTCCTTTGGTTTTCTGAGTGACAGAAGCAGCTCTTGTGCAACCCCATGAATCCAGCAGCCAGGGCTTTGATAAAGATCCTGAAGTAGTGCAAAGAGCAAGTTCATTCTAAAAACAGGCAACACCACCAAGCTCACTAGAAAAAAAATAAAAAAACCCCAAATTTGTTCAATATGGGGACAGACATGGAATGGAACCTGTCCAGATCACCTCTTGAGGGCACATTCCTTCAGCAACTCCACTGCATCCTTCCAGTGACTGCCCAAAGAGCCATGGCAGCCAGTAAATACAGAGACTGCTTAGCAGAATTTTTTACACAGATAAAAAGATTTCTGAAATTCTAGGAAAGTTCTTTCCTTTTTTTTTCTTTTGTTTTGCTTTGTTACAAGCTTCCACTCTATACTGAAATATTCCAGACTTCGTTTTCAATAAATAATGCAGAGAGAGTAGCTTCAGATGTAGCTGGAATCTGAGCTGAGAGCTACAGTCCTGTTGGCCCTGCCCAACTTTCCATCAGTGCTGTCAAAGATCCAGAGGCTAAAAAGAGAGGGAAATGAAAATCCTGCCAGAAGTTACCCCACTGCCCCTTCTTCTCCTGGCTCCAGTGCAATCTGTTCCCAAACATCAAAGTGAAACTCCACATCTGCCTGTATTAAAGGGCGTTTTCCTTTCCTGTGCACTTTCAGCTGCACAATTTGCATGAATCCAACCTGATGATCATTGTGTGGCCCAGCCACAAAGCACAGACACAATATATGTGATGCTGTCCAGGGTCTGACCAGGCATTTTTGTTCAGAAATTTCCTTCCAACCTCTCAGGTTTGGCCATTTTTCTGTGGTGGCCTTGGCACAGAGAAGTGACAGCATGTCATTTATCCCTGAGCTCAGTGCCCTCCCCAGCTCTGCACGTGCCAAAATTGCTCGTGGAGCTCCCATTGGTTCTGACGACGCTTTCAATTTAGCAAATGTTTATGTGACTCTGGGTTGGAAAAGGATGGAAAAAGAGTCCAGGCACATCACTCTAAATAGATCTGTGGGTAACACTTTAGCTACACATTGAACTTAGATTTAGTAGCATCGTTATTGCATGTAATGTTTATTTTATTAGGTTTATTTTATTAGTGTGCCCACAGCAGAATGTAAGCCTTGTCTTTGTCAACTCTAAAGGCACCCCACAAGAGGCTCTGAGTAGAAAAATATGGTGCAGTTCATTTTTTCCTTTGGAAAAGCCAAGCAGATGCTGATGAGTGGATAGTCACAATAAGTGTGTGTTTTGAATGCACTATTAAGCTCTGAAACTCAGCTGAGTTAACTTGGTGGGAAGTTGGGTTTAATTTGATCCTGTCTCTGAGTGTTCATAAAATGATGCAATTCAGCTTTAACCAGATGAGTGGTATCATCAAAATATATTATTTAAATCCCACCCTCTCAGCCATGTAGCCAAATTGGAAGAAGTGTCACTTAAGTATCTCCTTCCAGGCCAGGAAAAGATCAGTCACACTTTAAATTAAGTGTCTCAAGTAAGGATTTAATTTAGACTTAATAAGACAGCGATTGTACATTAAATACCATTGGGTTATTAAAACCATATTCATTGAGGTTTTACAGCTATGTCAGGACAATATGCCATAAATGGAAAAACTGGTAACAAGACACAGTTATTGATTCTGACAACATGCGCTAGATAGGATGCATTCATATGTTCAGTAAAAATAAGATAAACAAGCATGTTTTCCAAAGTCTCCATGGATGCCTTCACCAAAATGTCAGACACAGAAACAAGAGCAAAATTATCCTCAGTGCCTCCCTAAGAATGAGATTCATTTTCCCTATTGTTAGGGAAACTGAGGCATGGAGAGGGCAACAAAGGCATTTTCTTAGGGTCTGCTAAACAGCTCTTGGGAAGGCAGAGATTTTTGAACTCTCCTTATATTTCTGCTGTGCTTTTACCTCAGGACAAACCTGGTAAAAGACCAGGGTGGATCTGAACAAGGAGAATCCAAAGAAGAAATCCAATCCAGCCAAGGACACCAATGTCCCCAGATGTCACAGAGGACAGGGCTGGCCTTTAAAGAAGAGGGAATGTGAGGTCTGGGCAAACCCAGAGCACCTTTTTTCCTTGGGATGGGTGAAGCTCAGGAGATCCTGGATGCTTTAGAGTTTGTGAGCAGGGAACTGGCAACACCTCTACAAATCCTAGCAATGATTTTGTATTTGCATATATTCATTTACACACAAATATGCATTTTATGACTGTGCAGGTATAATACATGTATATGTATAAGGAGGAACATTCCCACCAGAAGAAATCTTGGAAAAGAGATTGTTTATAACAAAAAACCATTTCCTTTGCTAACAAGTTTCTGTATTCCCCTTACTGTTATTAGAGACATTTGTGCTTAAATCAGAAGTCCCAGCCCTGCCTCTCCTTCCATCTGAGCCTACACAGATTGCATAATCCTCTGTTTGTGGCATCATCACACATTGCTATAGAGATAGAGAAACCTCTGTGATGATGATGATGTCAAATTGCTCAGCCAGATAACACCAAAATCAAGATAGAGGAGAAGGGGGTCTATAAACAGAAGCAAAGCATCATCTCCAGCAGTCAGCAAAGAGGAAAGGTAATATCATTTATAGACCTCTGAAGGTAAACAGATGTCAGCTCCTAACAAGTGTGACTTGAAAGCTTTCTCTGGTGTGAAAGTCCCCAGCTCTGCTCCCATTCTCAAAGGCTTTGCTTCATCAACATGACTTCTTCAATTGCTCCTTTATTCAATGGGCTCTATAAATTTGGGAGAAGTTATGCTGCTACTGCCATGGGAATGTGGCAACCCTATGAATGCTGTGTCTGTCTCATCTTGTGGCTACGTCTGGAGATGGGCTAAGATCCCTTACTCACAAGAAATCTATGTTGCTCCTATTCAGGACTTGAGACAAAGTTCAGACTGGGATGTTCTGCTGTTCTAGGGAGCAGCACCCAAAATTCCCATGGCAGGGAGCACACAGCCATGGCAGGGAGACAGAGTGGTGGGATCCTCACTCCCAAATCCATATGTAGATGTCAGAATTGAAGTTTTCCCTAGAAATGGAAATGCTCCTGGCTCTTGGAGGTGGAGTGCCCTGACTGTCAGGAGCCACTTTGTTCTGCAAATGTCAGTCTGGGGAAGCAGATCTGATTTCTCACTCATATTTCATCTTGAATCTCTGCCTGCATCCAAGTTTTCCTCACAATCCAGACACAGGTTTACATGACAGTTGTACGAAGCTGACCTGAAAGACATTTATATTTTACAATTCCTCTGAACAGGAGAAAATGGTGGCTTGGTTCCTTTCCTGCCCAGACTGTTTAATTATTGGGGTATCATGGAATGCCTGCATTGTAATAAAACTCCAGAGTGCATCCAGGTACCAGGGGATTTATTAACTTGCACTCAACACTGGCAATCAGCAGCCAGGGTCAGATGTGCCTGGTGATGATGACATCACCATTTTTGGCAGCTCTCTCCAACGAGTGTTGAGTGAGGTAATGTCCCCAAAATTAAAACTGACAGCAGGATTAATAATGATAGATTCCTTGAGCATTCTCTTTGTGCTCTAAATTGGAGTCCTATTTCTTCTATCAGAGATTGCCAAAAGATCATCATAACACTTCAGCACAGCAGCAGTAAGGGACACCAGTGAGTGGCACTGGGTGAGGAGGTTCCTGCAGGAAGGTTTGGTCACACCTGGGCACTGACTACTGTATTTTCCACTGGAGATGGGCAGGTGTCACAGCACCTGGGCAGCTGCCATCCTCACAGCCATGCCAACACTCAGCTCTGGGTGTACAGCTGGAATTAACTCACAGGGATGTGGCTGTCAGCAGCTGAGGGCGAGTTCAGAGGAAGGGAAGGCTCTGTGTCCTGCTGCAGTCCCTTAAGGAATCTCCAGGGACACACCAATACCAGCTGGCCCACAAAACCTTGCCCAGCACATTCATGGGCATTTTTTAGATTTTCTGGAGCAGCTTGCAGGTGCTCCCTGTCTGGCACAGGGAGGTTTTGGCTATTTGTTTTTGAAATTTTGCAAGGGAAAGAGAAAGGAAGGGAAAGCCAGGCTGTGGCTGACACCCTGTGATAGAGCTCCCTCTGCCCAAGACCTCAGCAGCCACAAACAAATGTCAGGAGTGCAGTGAACAGGCTAAACCACACTGACCCAGGGGAAACAGGGCTGACACCAGGGCACTGCAACCTGCATCTCTCTAAACATCTAAACTTGGCCTTTTTTTGCTCTGTTGAACACCAGAGGGGAAGGTTTTCCTGAGACATTCCTGAAATCTGTAACAGCAACCAGTAACCTTCCATCACCATGAGATCCCAGGGGCTGCAATAGACTTGGAACTTTCTGTAAAAACAACAGAGAGTACGCATGGTCCCACTTTCTGGGACCCTCTTCTCCCACTGCTCCCAGTTCCTGAGCATTTTGCTTCCTTAAACTCTACTCAGATTCCTCTCTTGACATTTCTCTGTGCTGTTTTTACCTGTCTTGCTCCTTGCCCCCTTTGCCAGCACTCTGCACCGAGACCAACACAAGCAAACAACAAACTCTGAATGCAAGTGTGAGCTTCAAAAAGAGATTTCTTACACAAGTTTGCCAAACTTGCCAGAAGGAGACTTTAGAGGTTAGCAAAGGCAAGTACCTGGGTTTTTCCTGTGATCAGATTCTGTACAGCAGCAGATGGAGGTTGCTTTGGTATTTGTAGCATCTGTTGGCAAATTAAATCCTCCGATGGTCACCAGGCACTAAAATGAAGAAATAGAAAATACTGGAATTGTTTGGATCACAAACAGCTTATATTAAATAGTATTTACTACCCCTAATTGTTACCTTGCTCAGATAAAATCCATCTCATCTGTGCATTACTTTGCCCGAACACAAACTATAGACCTGAGCACTTTTATGCACTTTAAAATGCTGTAAAAGCATTTGTCTTTGTGAGTAGGTGGATGGTACCGAGCACTCCCTGAGCACTCTTCTGAAAAAGGCAGGCCCTTGAAGGCCCTACAGTCCTTGAGTTGTTCCCATATTCCAGAGCAGAGCCATATATTGCTCAGTCAAAATGAAGCCATGGAAATCTGAAATAATGATGGAAGAAATGAGCAAAGTTTTGGTCATTGTTTAATTCGCTAAGAGAACAACCCCACCTAAGATTCCTTCTGCCAACTCTGACAAAGTGGCCAAAGATAAAGAAAAATATGCCTCAGAGATGGAGCACAGCTGTTAAAATAACAGTGAAGAGGAAAAAAGTGCACAATAATTTAATTAAGTAGCTGTGCCCATTCCATGTTTCTCCCCACAATGCTATTGGTAGCGAAACAAGAGTTTGTCACCAGTTTGAAATTTTAATTCTTTCCTATACAGATGTTGCCCTTAGAAATTCTTGTAATAACCTCGTAGAACTGCATTTCTCTAATGATGATAAAGTGCTTTAGTTAATTAAACCTCACAACATTTCTGAAAGTGCCATACACTAAACAGTGCAGCAGCCTCAGTGCAAAACACAGCTCTTCCAAAAATCTATTTGTGGATTTTGAACTCTCCCATTCTTTATCAGCTGCAACGGAACCTCAGTAGAAGGTTATGTAAAAGTTGACAGAGAAAATGTATTGGAGCTGCTCTTATTAAAAGGTTTGGTGGAAAAAATCATCCTTTTACCAAAAAGAAAATGTTTTGCAAAAATTACTTTGATTTCACGTGAGATTTCAGCAGAAAAGTTGGTGAAGTTCAGTGTGGACTAACTTGTACCCTTAACAAAAGGGGGAAACGTGCAATCAGTCCAGACCCCAATCTTGAGGTCTGAGTTTCATATTGCAAAAAACTTGGAAAGATTACATTTCATGTCAGTGCAAAAGCATCTCAAAATTGCGAAATGTGGTCACCAGACACAGTTGTAGTTTTACATCTCCTTCTATCATCAGGCCAGTTTGGGTCTGGTTTATATTTCCCTTTCAGGTAGTGCAGTTGATAGTACAAGCAATTACAACAATAATGCCTCCAGTCGGTGCCTACTTGTAAAAACCCCTTTCCATGGCTTGGATGTGTAACACAGCATGTAGGCCTCTGAATTTACTTTGTTAAGAAATAAGCATTATATTTGCTGCCGGCGCTCTGCTATGCTGCCCATCTTTTTACTCTGAGTAGGAAAATCACAAAGGTTTCATCTGAGACTCTTTAGCCAGGGTCAGAGCAGCGTGGTTTGGGCACTGAGATTCATTGATCTGAGGACTCAGAGAGGTTTGCAGCGGGACAGGTCAGCCCATGGATTTGGATTTGGTTCATGCAGGCTCTGATTCAGCAGATTAGTTAAAGGACAATGAGGTATTAGGGGAAAGAGGGCATCTCATGCTTGCTGAGAACCCAAACTTCAGCCCCTGCATGGAGTTTGACTGCTGCACTTAAAAACACAGCAAGCAAGAGCTCCTCTAGGATGAAAAGCTGATGCAGAGGTACTTACAGGAATGAGTTTTGGCAGCCAGGATTCATACAGCCTACCTAGGAAGGTAACAAAGAATCAAGACCTATCCTCACATCGGGTACCAGCTTCTCTCTTATTAACATTGTGGATCCTGTGGTGGTTTCCTTCACTCCCAAAACCACTAATTTAACGTACAGTACAGTCATTCTGTGTGGGGGGAAAGAGAAATTCTTTCTTCCTTCCTGTTGGAAAACTCTTTGGCAGTAACGCTTGGATTGTTTTCTTTGTAAATTATATTCATGCTGTTTTCAAGATGTTTTCCTGACTTTATTGAAATTTGACCAATTTAACGAGTAATGTAGAACTTGTTTCCATGTTAAAAAACTCTCAGAGCTGCTTGGGGATAATTATTAAAACTTCCATGTGTGCAGCAAGGCCAGTCACTTCTGCAAATTAAAAAAAGAGGAAAAAAACCAGTCTGAAACAGAAGGATGTTGCTCGAACAATAGGCAAAGGAGTGCAAAACCCAAGGCCACCAACCTTTGGAGACCAGGGGCTGTGCTGGCTCCATGCCAGGAGAATAACACTCACACCTGGCTTTCCTGCCAAGTTTCATTTCAAAAAAAGTTTTAATCACAGATAAGGGACCAATACAAAGCCCTGAAATCAGTGGAGAGGCTCACATGGAGTCTATGGGAACGTGACTCAGGCTCCAAAGACCCGACCTCTGGCCCATCCACCAAACCATGCTCCAAACTTCCTTGAATCAGTTTTTTGGGGGGACAGAGGGGCTGTGGTTTGCTGAAACCCCTACCTGATGCAGGTATGTGTGACTTTGGGGACCCTTTCCAACTTGGATGCCAGCTTACATCAATTTACATCACTTACATCACATGCCAACTTACATCAATTTACAGGAGCCCCAAAAACCTTAAAGATTTCTTTAGAAGGATTTGCTCACTGTTTTCCCTGGTGGCTGGAGACAGGTTCATGGGGACACACAAATCTGCTTTTTTTCCACCCTACCTGCTCTAGGCTCTGAGAGCAGTTTTCCAGGCAATGCTCCTCTGCAGCTGCCTTTGAGCTCCCGCCTTCCCCACATGATTCCCTGTAACACTTACAGCCACCACTGCAAATACAAGAAAAATACAGCTGGAGGTTTGGGCAACCAGAATAAATGGCCAGACATCTAAATCAATGGCTAAACAAGCACATTTGTGAATTTATGGGCACTCCCTGCTTTTAGCTACTTCTGTACTGTTATTTGGCTCAGCAGCTCTGAACAAAGCCCTTGTAACACTCCCATTTCCTCAGCATCAATAATCCATCGCAGCAGGGCTGGCTGTGCCCTGCCATGGGTGTCACAGTGCTGCAATCCAGCACCGGGTAACAGGGATAGAAGGGGGTGTTGCTGCTGGGATGGGACCCAGAGAGGCAGAGGAGAAGCTCTGCTCCCACAAAAGCCCCTTGGCTTCATCCTTTCAGAGGCTCAGTTGTGTAAAGCACCTTAAAGCACCTTTTTTTGGGGTTTTTTAAACTTCTTTTTTTTTTTTTTTTGACACCCAGCACCAGAATAGCTACATCTGCCTGGCTGTTACTAATTCAGGATATATTTCAGATGAAATTCATTAAACACCTTTCAGTCAAAAGGAGGGGAAGCCTCTCCAGCAGTGACTCATGGAAGCGGCTCATCCTGGCAGGATGGGTGTTCAGGGAGATCTCTCTTTCAGGGAGGTGCAGGATCACTTTTCAGTGCATCATAAAGAGGTGAGGGAGGTGGAGCTGACACAAAAAGGTTAAGCTTCCTTTTCCCAGGCAGCAGAGGCTGGATTTTGCAAGGAGTTCAAAGGGATGGCACACACCCATTCACTTCCAGGGGAACTTGGCAGTTTCAGTGCCTTTGAAACCTGCCTGCCCTAATGCCAGGCAGATGTTGGCAGTGCTTTCAGCTTTCCCACCCAGTTACAGTGCCCACCCCTCAGAGCAGGCAGCAACACATCTTTTACACACAAATGAGGCTCAAGGAGAGAATTTAGGGAGCCACCCCACCTTTGCAGCACTCAGCCGCTGGGTTCACTTTAAAGCCTGAGCACAAAAGTAGGAAAACCAGGTATCAAAGACAGCTGAAACATGAAAAAGTCTCAGTCAGCATTAAACCAGCAGCTGAATGTGCAGCACACCCCTAGGAACACATCAAGTAGCAAAAAAAAAAAGGTAGACATTGTCCTCTTAAGATTAAAGCAGCACACCTTAGAGTGTTTTTACTAAAACACAGCACAGTGTCAGTATAAATGGCATTTATGCATAAAAGAAGGTGATTTATTTACCCTCCTCCTCTCCAGAGACGTGGGACAATGTGTTGGTTGGAGAACTTGGCCTGGTACTTGCCTGCACTCCTGGCTGATGGAACAGAAGGGTGTCTGTGTCCAGATGTTTATTTCCTGTGGTTGAATGGGAGTGACATGGAGGGAACAAAAAAGGTTTGGTTAAACTAAAGCCTTGTGGGACAGTAAATGCAGTCAGGGATGGAGGAGGACAGCAGAACTCAGTCAAAACCATCACATCTCTCTCTTTACTGAAAATTGTTCTGAATCAGTGAAATATTGGTAAACCAAATCATTCTTAGATTTGTTACCTAATACCAAAAGAAATTATTCTTTGATTTTTTTGCCTCACCACAAGTTTCAGCACACAGCTTTCTTTGCAACTGCTCCTTGATGGTGTCACAGCTCTGGGAATTGCTGTGAAATTCTCTGTCCACTTACAAGTGAGTCTGCAACATGGCACAGCTCTTGAGGGTGAAGTTTATGAGTCCATAACTAATATTTTCATCATTCATGCCTTAAATGCAACATAAGCCCTTGAGAAGTTCAGACCAGGATGACAGAAATAAAAAAAATGCATATTAAATTGTTTGGGTAGGAAAAAATAGAAGCACAAACATTGTACTTCCCCTAACCCAGAATAACATAATTGCCTTAAATATTTTTAGATTATAAATTGTTTCTCTTGCAAGTACTTCAGAAATATTATTCATGTTCATGGCCAGAGATGAAAGCTCACCTTCATTAGGAAGAATTTCAGAGCCCCCAAACATTAAAGAAAATAGTTTTGGGCAGCTCAAAACACAGTTTTAAAGGAAAACACAACCATGAAAACATATTGGGAAAAAAAAATTTGATACAAACCAAGGCAGCTCCTTCCCCACATCTGTGGATGGGAACAGATACACAAAGGATGAATCCTGGACCCCCAAGAACAGTATTTGATTTAAAATAAAGAAGGTGGGAGCTGTTGGGGGCTGCTTGGGAAGGAGCAGGGGGAGTTTTTAACTGAGATTCCCAACAGTTCTGCCCATCCCAGCAGTTCCCAGCCCTGGGATCACCCAGCCACACCTGTTAATTGCCCCTGATATTGCTCCTGAGTGTTTGGGAGGATTTCCCCTCATGTTTATGAATCTGGGACACCTGTGAGAAATTTGCAGTAAGGAGTGCTAAAGATGCATTTCATTTGTTTATTCTATATATCTACACACACACACACATATATATATATAAAATTGACTTTACAAGCTGCATGACAGGTTACTTAAGTTACCTGATATCATTTTGATATCATTTTTCTACTCCCAAGGCATTTCAAAGGTAACCATCTCACAAAATCTGACTTCTTACAGGCCAGGGAGCTTTTAATCTCTACGAGATTCTGGTAAGCAGAAGGGTTAAATATTCATTGCCAGCAACACTTATGGAAATGCTGAGGAAGTCAGAGCCAGGACCAAAGGCAGATTTCAGAGGAATTCTCTAAAACACCAGCTACAAACGTTACAAAGTTCACTAGCACTTGCTGTCAAATCCAAGCTGCTTTTGGGCAAGGCAGAATCCTGCAAATAAACCATTTGCAGCTGTAAAAAGCAGTCCTGCTTGCTCCAGAGAGTATTCTGTCCAAAAACCAGAATGATTTACAAACAGTTTCGTCAAAAGTGAATGAAAAGGAAATACAGTGCCTGCGAGAATAATTTTTGCACAATTAGTCCAGTTTGTGCAAATATTTACAGTCAAGCTTAATATTACACACACAGTCCCACTCAAAGGTGATGAATGTACTCACCATTTATTGTTTTGCACTGCCTTCAGGGCCTGAAACATTAATTGGCCTGAGAAAAGTCCTGATGTTTATAAGCTTTTGGAAATGCTGATAACCTGATAAACAAAAATGTTAAGGCAACTTCAGGAGCTAATCAAAACCCTGGCAGGCTGGGGAAATGTCAATATTTACAGCAAGCAGCCTTTCATCAGTTAATCACTTTTAACCTTCATAAACTAAGATACTATAGAGGACTTCAGGTTAATGTATGAACACTCCATTCAATTAAGGCATTACAAAGGCAGTTACAGACAAATAAGGCTTCATGAAATGAAGTACAACTGAATTTATCAGGGAAGAAACAGGCCAGACAGGGAACAGAGAGCCTCAGCTTCAGTGTTTGAAAGGAAGAAGCGCTCAGTGTAATTCTAAAGAAACAGACTCAGCATCAGGTCCAAATATTTTATTTCACACATAAAGCACTGTACCCATACTCATGCTAATAAAGAACAGACTTGTGCCAACCCTGGTGCATGCTTTTGTTATTGCATTATAGTTCATGAGAATTATAGTGCATAATTAAATATAAAAAACTTGAACCTGGAATTATAAAACCGTCACCACAAACCAGCAATTCCACTTGATATGTATTAAGTCATTACTTTTTTTTTTCATAAGGAAAGAAAAAGGGAATCAGGGAGGAGGAAAAGGGGGGGAATAGAAGGAAAGAGAGAAAGAGAGAAAAAATTCTTTTCCTTGTAAATCATTAAAAATGCATGAAGGTTTAAAGCACGCCAGAAACAGCCTGTGCATTCATTTAGGAGACTACGCACGAGAAAACTCACTGCGTTAAGGAAAAAAAAAAAAAGAGATTTTTCTAAAACAAGGGAAACCAAACAAGCCATGGAGGGACTGGTGGGGTGGAAATGCTCCAGGCAGGGAGGGGCTCCCTGCTCCATCCCCTTCCCTGACCGAGAGCATCGGGGGCCCTGAGCGCTGCCACATTTGTGATGCTCCAGCAGAGCTTTCTGGGTTTTATCATCCAGGGGAGCTAATCACAATTACAAACATATGGATTATTATTCTTGCAGTTGAGTTCAGCTTCTGCCATAGAGAAAGCTCCTGGCATGAATGGGTGATTTATTGAGCTGCAGATGGGAGCTCTCCTTGGCATGAGGGATGGGGTCGGACACGGGAGCAGGGCTTGGGAGCAGCAACCCCAGGTTCAACCTCCCTGTGACTCTTCCTACCTCCTGAAGGCACATCAGCTCAGGGCTTCCTGCCCTGTGAGAGGGAACACTTGCTGGAAATGGTGTCCCACGGTGAGAATCTTGGGTTTTATATAAGTAGTTTGTTGTTAGGAAGAGTCAGCCAGCACATACCATGAGGGGATGATTCTCACCCTGCACAAAGCCAAGCTCCTGTGGGACAGGGTGTCTGACCTTGATGTGTCACACTGTAACTAGAGAGAGACGTCAGGAGAGAAATGGCTTTTATTGTGTGGAGCTGGTTTGTTTGTTTGTTTGAAGTTTTCTGCGTCATCCTCTTTAAATTTTTAGAGTGAATTTATTGCTCTTGAAATCCATATCCCAGGGGCCTGGGTCTGCTCAGTGCAGAGGAGAGGAGATGGGAAGCAGTTCTGCAGCTTCCCCTTCCAGTTCTGACTTGCAGTAAATGCTTGGAGGTTTTTTAAAAAAAAAAAAAGTAACTAACTAATGATCTCCATCTCTCCTGGCACAGCAGTACCAGGAGACCCCAGCCCTGTTGGTTTTCCTTCAGGCTGTGCACACCAAAGGCAGCCTGAGAGCACCATTCATCACCTGGGAGGCACCTGATAGCCAGTAAAGGCTGCTCATCACTGGCAGCCCTACTCACCATTAAATATGTGCAGAGGGAAGGCTCTGAGCAGGATCCCAGCTCACACTGTCCCCAGCCCCTGGCTCTTTGCAGGGCTCCAGCAGCTCTTGGTGCTGCTCCATCCCAGTCCATGCTCAAGTCATTTGGTCTGTGGCTCACTTGTACCCTGAGATTAGGAAGAGAAGGATGAGAAGGAGGAGAAAAACCAGACTCCGTGGCTTCCCTAACACAGGGTTTGCTGTCATCTGGGACAGGGAGGCAGAACCCCCCACTCCTGCCTGCTGAGGGCTCCTGGGGTTGGTCTGTGGGGCACCTCTGGCTGCCCAGACCACAGGGGAGATCCAGCTTGGGATTTTCCAGGACTGAAATTTCACAAGTCAGACAGAAGGGCAATCTCCTGCCTTTCTGGTCCGAGTGGGAGTTGCTGCTGAGCTGTTCCCTGCTCCTGACCAGGCGTTGCATAATGCCAGCCCTGTTGCATCCCTCTAATGATGCCATTTTCTCCATAGGCAGGAGGCAGTCAGCTTTTGCCTAATCAGCAATTTTCAAGCTTTTGATTCCCACTCCTCCCCACCCCCTCTTTTTGTCAATATTCATTATAAATGCTTGAAGCCAGGGCTCCTTTTTAGCTGACTGTGCTTTCTGTGCCTCACCCTTTCAGGTGGATGGCTGACAAGTGACCACTTCACGCACAAGGAAACTTTAAATGAATCCCAAAAGAAAGTATTTGTGGAAGAATGAAAGGGCATCCCAGGCTTCTGCTGAGTAATGGATGTGATAATAATTGTAGGGGAAAAGATCCAAACAGTTGGGTGTTGGTTTTTCCTCTTCCTGCAGCCAAGCTCTTGATCAAAAGATGTAAAAAGCCTGACAGTTGCTGGAGCAAGAGCTGCACTTTGATTCTGGGGCACACAGGAAGGACAGCTGCCAACCTGGGAATCAAGAAACTGGCTATTGCTCCTTTGAACTATATCAAAAGCTCATCATATTTACTTCTTCTAATTAACAAGTGCATTTATTAGGTGTGTTAATGAAGGGCTGGTAGCCAAGGCTGGGAGCAGATAGGAAGGGGGCACTTTGCTGGTGGCAGCCCAGTAATGCACAGCAGCATCACAGCTGCCACCAGCCCCAGGCCCTCCCTGTGTCCTAGTTTAGGGCAATTTTGGGAGAAATTTTGGGAGAAAACTGTTCTGTTTATCCAGCATAAACAGAGCAGACAACTGGGGATGCAAGCATCATATAACCAACACAGGACACCCTGCCACTTGCTCTTGGACCCAGAGGAGCCACTGTTAGCCCAGCCTTGGGCCACTTTTCCCCAGGGACAGCCCCTTGTTCCTGGCAGTCCATCAGTTTTGACGTGAGGAACAATAAAACTGCAATCAAACTCCTTCCTCCTGTGCAGGCAGCCTGGGGATCAGGTTCCCCCTGTATCTCTTACCTTCCTCCTACCACTTTGAAGGGTTTGTTCTTGAATTGTATCTGGATATCTCAGAGTGGAATTTCATTCTTCTGAGGCTTTTAAAACTAGAGCAGGTAAAGAATTAGCAAAGGACAGGGAGCACACGGAGCAGTCTGGAGCTCACAGAGATCTCTGTCACTGTTTTGTTGGTGCTGCCTGGAAAAGATGATGCTCTCCAGAATGTGGGAATTACCTTGCCAGGAATGGGTGGCATCTGCTTCCTTTCTGCTCCTTGAAGAACAAAAGCAATTTTCTTTCTCAGCACAATATGGGTATAAATGTGCTAGCTGAGATCCAGCCAGCATCTTCTCACTGAGAGTGGCCAAAAAGGGATTTCTTGGGAAATATAGGAAGGATATTGAATTTTTTCCATTTACTCCATGTGAGCTGAAAGAAAAATATGTGAAAGGGCAGATCAAAGCAGAGTCCATTCCTCAGTTCTGAGGCATATTTGTGCAGAACAGAATTCTGCTGGTTTGCTTGCTAAAGGAAATATCCTAGAAGCAGTATGAATATATCCAGGAGTTAAATTATTATGTTTTGGTTTGTGATCCAATACAGCTGACCAAGATATCTCCTTGAGCAAGCTGCTTAGACTCTGAACACACTCAAAACTAAGTCAAATTCTCTGATTTTCTGCTGCATCCGGGCACATACCACCCTTGTGCTGCTCAGGGTATAGGAGACACCAAAGGTGCCAGCACACACTCATGAATCTCATGTAAAACATCTGGAGAGGAGACATTCCTCTGCACCAGAGCAAAGATGCTGTTTCCAGGATGCTTTTAAAGGAATCAACAGTGCCCTACACTTGGTCCATGCTTTCTGAATGAGATGTCCTGGCTGCTTAGCTGAGGAGACTGTCAACATGACTGATCGCCCCTCACTGCCTCAGGAAAGGGCTTTTGTTTATATTTCAGGCAGACAGTTTTACTGCATTATATATGATCCTTGCAATTGTTACCACTATCTGCTTCTGCC